TGGGACAGTTTGTTCGAGCAACAGTGCCGCTGTTCTTTGCAGGGTCCTCAGTCTCCCTGGGACTGTACAAGAGGTGGGAGTAATGTCTAGAGATGACGGGGGGATGTCAACGAGGGCAGATCTCCTTGTAGGATGGTGGTGGTGGGATGCTGTCCATGGCAGCTGCTGCTTTTCACTATCATTGACAGCTTGATCACTGTGTTTGTGTTGGGGTCTTCTTACAGTCATAAGAGAGATTAGATTCAGGGTCCTAATCTGTACTATATCATTCTGCCCAAAGTATACTATTAGCATGCATATGCATAAAAGCTGATCACTGAGCCTAACCCATTTTAAAAAAAACATTTTTTTTAATTATAAAAAAACCCCTGAGGATCTTGGGCCTCTTCAGCCTAAAAAAGAGAAGACAGAGGGGACTTGGTAGCAGCTTACCGCTGTATCAGGGAAGTACATCAAGGGCTCCGTCAACAACTGTTCACCAGGGCACCCTTGGGGAAAACCAGGAGTAGAAGCCACAAACTCCTGGAAGACCATTTCAGGCTTCTGAAGAAAAACTTTGTCATAGTTAGGGTGTCCAGACTGTGGAATAAGCTCCCTCCAGAGGTCGTTCAATCACCTATCCTAGAAATCTTCAAGAGACTGGATGGCCACCTTACTGGTGTCACCTGACCCCAGTTGTCTTTCCTGCTCAGTGCAAGGAGCTGGACTCAATGATTTTGTGAGGTCCCTTCCAGCCCCTAACAATCTATGAATCTATGACCCCTTCCCCAACACAGGAGAGGGCACACGGTCAATAGGGATAGAGCTCCCCTGAAGGTAGGGAGAGGAGACCAAAGAGCAGCCTTCTATTGCCCCCTGGCTAGAATGTCTATACATCTCTTTTTTCACCACGTTCTCATTGGTTCTGGAAAATTGTGTCACCCAAATGCCTGTCCATACTTTCTATTTGTCAGAATTTTTGTGCAGTTTGTTTGACTGAGGATACACCTTATCATGAGGTCCTGAAGAAGGATGTCTATCAGTAGCACCTGAAGCTGAAAAACTTAAAATTTCTGTAAGTGGGACAGAACAAAGACAGCAGGTGAAAAAAGGATAGCAACACTAATCAGAAGTGGAACTATTTACCCAACCTAAAAGAACCTCAGTAAAAAGCATGAGAAAGCAACCCTTTAAATTTTTAAAGACTTAAAAACACAGGTTACATCAGGTCAACATTTCAGAAAGTTATTCTAGAAGTAAACATTTTAAAAAATTGAAGTTGACAGTCTCCTTTAAGGCTGAGCATGTACTGACTTTTAAAATTTCATTGTATAAAAAAACAAACAAAAAAACAAACAAACAAAAAAACTCAGAAATGTTATGATTTAGTTTCAAAACACCAGACTTGCACTTATAGCAACAATGAGTAAAAACCTTCATCAAATAGCTGAGATAAGTAAAAAAGTAAATGCAACTTGTTTATGTATATCCAAGTTAACAGTGTACCTTGGGCAGAATGGTACAATACAGATTAGGATTCTGAATCTAATCTCTGTTATGACTGTAAAAGGGCTCAAACACAAACACAATTCATACCCCATAGGACAACATTTGCCTGAATCTACAAACCTGAAGCAGCCCTGACATAATGAGCTACCATGTTTATTGCACTAGAGTGAGAATTTTTAGATGTTATATCTGGTGACATTTTCTCTGTTGACTATTGTCACCATCTTTATATCCCCAAAATTCAAACACTCTAGTCTGACACCTCCCCAAATGACAAGAAGCCTGTAACTACACACAAAAAAACCCCAAACCCTGCCCATCCATCTCTTACTTCCCCAACTTTCAAAAATTGTATAAAGTTACGTGTATTCTTACAAGACTGCATCACCCCTGACCTGAAGTTAAAAATTTAAAAGTATAATAAAATGTACTTTGAAAAAACTTTGGAACAGAATTTTTGTAGCGACTTACTCATTTTCACGTTCAATTCAATAAAATCTTTGTTTCAACAGTATCTTGTCACAGAATCTCTAGCCTGCTTCACTGCAGAAAGCCATGATCTGAGTATATATCCACAGACCTAAGAAAAGACTAGCATATTTTGGAGTCTGTGCTCCAATCTCTTAACAGAAAAGAATGAGAATAACATTCTGGGACACGTAGAGATGTGGATATAATACAATCAGCAGGCTAGTTTTGAGGATAGTGAAACTGGGTTCTCCAGCCACAAAGAGATAAAGTTGGTTAGGGTGTCTGGACCTCATGTAAGATGCTATAGGGTTCCTACCTTTTACAGGTAAGAAGAGGAATTCAAGTGGGAAATGGTTCTCTCAGCCAGTACATAAGAGTAACAACAGGAGCAGCTATCTGTACAAATTATATAAAGGGGTGACATTAAACTGAAAAAACCCAAGTTCCTAAAATTCATTACAAGTATACACAATTCCTAAAACATTGGGAAAAAAATGTTCTAAACCTCAGAATACTCTTACCAGACTTTATTCAACTGAATCACCATCTACTGGACAAAACTGAAATGAGTACGATAAAGTATCAAGCTTAAACTGCAGATGCAGACTGTACAGTAATTATTATAAATTTACACTAGGTTTTACTTCTCAGTAAATTTACTCAGTAGGTAAAAGGTAGACATATGAACAACTCATACATTCTCTGCCTGCAGTAGATACTATTTAGTGCCTCACTAAACAACACCTAGTCCAGGGATAGGCAGACCCCAGCATACATGCCAGAGCGTGACATGCACAAAGGCATTCTGTTTCGCATATGCACCTTGGGATGGACAGTGGGGAAGGGGCCGGGGTTGGGGCTGCGCTGCCACAAGGATGAGGCCCCTTGAGGCTCTCCTGCCATCCACCCTTGGCATGCCAACATCTTACGAGTTGAGGTTGAGGGTGTTTTTGGCACTGTCCAAAAATGTTGCCATCCCCTGACCTAGCCACTGGAAAGAGGGGGGCATTATTTGCAGTACACACACAAAAAAAAAAAAAAAAAACTACCCTTGGATAAATAAACTGGGGGTGTAGAGCTTATGGCCAGGACACTGGAAAAGTGTTACTCCTTACCTTTAACTTAGAGCAGAGTGGCTTACACAAGTATCAAGCTACCCATCTCTGTCCAGTTTTGTAGTGACGTGTCCTCACCCTTAGCGTGCCTACACACTATATATCCTTGCGCAATTTTCTGTACAAGAGACAATGTATCCAACAACTAGAACTCTCACTATGTAAGAAACTCTTAAACTGCTTAGTTCATAAGTACTAAAATTCCACGCTCTGTCAACGCTGAGAAGAAACTGCAAACATATCTAGGCTAGTGGCTCCCAAGCTTTCCTGGTTCAGTTACGACCTTTTAAAAAGTTATGCACAACTGTGGTGTGTATAATCAAGTTTGAGCCCCACCCCCAACCAAACTGTTTTATAAAACACCAGATTACTCATCTCCAAATCAGCCAAGCCAGATAACAGCTACGCAGGGCATCTGCAAGTTTTAAAAAATAAAACTTAGGCAGCCACTGGCAATGCACAGGGGATACACGCGGGTGGGTGCATGTGTACCCCGAGCATGGTGGCGCACCTCCTGCGAAAAGGCGCTGCCGACATGGCCGGCAGTCGCCACTTGCTGCCACCCCCCTCACCAGCAGTCGCTGACAGGTGCTCACCACCCCTCCGCACCACTGACAGTGCTGCGGGCGCCTGCAGGAGCTCCCCACTTCCTGACACCATGCTCCCGCCACCAACAGCGCTCCCACTGTCTGAGGGAGCTTACCGTCCACATCCCACCCCCCAGCCTCTGGGGGCATGCGGTGTTCATGTAGGCAGGGATCTTTACAAAAAAACAAAAAACCCACACATAACATGACAGATTATACTTCAAAGACCCTCTTGTTTTTCCATATAGACAGCAGGAAAGAACGGGTAAAGCGTACAAAGACAACTGTCTTCCCACTGGCTCCTCTCTATTGGGCCTTCTTCCCTTCTCCTGCCCACTGGTGTTATCAGTGCTTTAGAAGTTTATACGGGGACTCTGATCTCTTCCCAGTCACAGGAACACACTGTGCACTCCGCCAGCTAGGAGCCTCAGTCAGCTGACTCCTACCACAGGAGTGCATAGTGGTCTTGAAGGCCTCCAGCATTTTCCAGAGGCTAAGAGCACTGGCCATAAGTTCAGTTAAAGGCATGATAGGAACCAGCTTCAAAGTTATTACTTTGTAGCTTATTCCTTATTTTATTACACCATTAATTTACTGAACATGTAGCCTGGTCACTCCTTAAGATGTGATTAACCAGTTAATCATGTCATAAGTGTAATGTCTATCAGGGGCCTTAAAGCGCTAAATTTCTGATCTCCATGCTGATCCTGCTCTGGCACGGTCAAATCCTCTCTTCTATCCCACAGACTTAAAATAAGACGACATGAGAAGCATGGGCTGTCTAGAATCATACTACCTTTAAATGCATGAACATTACTGAAAGCAGAGGGTAGAGAAGGGTTTAATGAAAAGCATATAATATTATAACTGCATCCTGACTTCTTTGTATGTGAAAGGGAAGATATATTAAGAATGCCAAAATTACTGCAACAGAGGCCTTAAAGTCTGACAACTTATTTTATTATACGCATAAAGCTACTTTTTGAAATGCTGTAATCGTTAACTCCTAAAACTTCAGAAAAAACAGTTCATACACTCACAAGCCACAAATTAAAGAGCTGGATATGATAGCAATCTTTCTACAGCAGTAAGTAAAAGCACCAACATATTGTAAGCGAAGTCATTTGCACTTCAGTAAGCTTTAGCTTAGATTTCACTGCTTCTGATATTTACACATCTGTTTAGAAAGCCTTCTTCTGGCTGAAAGGCACCTTGGAAACAAACTCCGATACATAAAAAATATTAATCATTATGACTGTCATAGGAAGACTAGACAAAAGAGCAGAAATGTTTTCAACACCAGAAGTATTCAAAGAAAATTTACACTTTAAAAGCTTGCCTTTGTTGAAAGCACTTTAAATGTACTTTGCTCTGGTACTATGGAATGAAGAAGAACAAGCTTTAAATTGTAGTCTTCTCCTGATGTAAGTTTCACCAATGCATTCATCTGTTAAAAAAAAACAAAACCAAAAAAACACCATCTTTCATCATCTTGAAGAATATACAATTTTTCACATTGGATTTAATTTTAATCCACAAGGATAATTCTTTCAGTATTCAAGAGTTAAATTAATAATTCTTCACTTGGAAAATTTTAGTGAAATGTCATGCATAAGACAAGAGTTTCAACTCGCTACTTTTCACTGCATTATTCAACAAGGTGTTTTCAAAGTAAGCTAGAAAATAAACAGGTGGTGTTTGATGTTCCTAGCCACCAGCTACTCAAAAAGTTTATCATTTCAACAATGTAATCAGACTTCTTTATGAAAAGAACTGCATGGGAGCAATAACATACCCAAACATTGATAATGGTACATAGAAAAACTATGCAACTGGGCTCTTACTAAGTAAACATGAAGTACATGACAGGAAGCATGTATGTGATCATGCCTATTAAAAGTAAATATTATCTGAGCATAGTTCACTAAAAACTAAGTTAGTGAAACAATATAAAAAGCTTTTTTCTCTATTCCATTGCCAGTTTCAGACACCAGAATTAAATATAAGATACATCAGAAATACAACCTACACTAATAGTTTGTTAAAACTGGCAGCTACTTATCAAGATTGTCGGACTTGTGAGTGATACCAAAGATAGGGAAAAAAAATAAAAGAATCAACAGATACCAATATGCACATTGCATATGTTCTCCTGTACAATCATTGTAAAAATTCTAGGTTGTTCTCAACTAGAATAAAGAAGCAGTGGACTCAATATTAATTCAGTATAAGCAAACAGGCATACTGGAAGATGAAGATATTTATTAAGCACTCAAGTTGAAGTGAACCAGTATAATCACCTCTTTCTCTGAAAACTGTACATCGACATCATCCTTCTGTGTGTTCTTGATCATGATAGTTACAATTACGTGAGATTCGGTTTGATACCAGTCATACCTTAAAAGAAGGATATCACTATTTAAAAATGTATTTGAACCATGTACAAGAAAAACTGATTAAACATTAACATTACTGCAGAGTAACATGCTTTACAATGACATACAATGCAGAAGGCCATATAAAACAAACCAAAGAAAGGTACTTAGGACTGTTCCTTTCTCTGATAAGAGTAAGCTTAATGGGTTTTATAAGACAAACACTAATAATGGAACAAAGAGTTACAATTACCAAGAAGAAAGAACTAGAAAAATAGTCTGATTTAAATATACCTGGCATACCACATACCCCCAAGAGATGCACCTTGTTTTTAGAAGGCACAATGTAGAAAAGAATATTGTTGCAGAGTTATGGCTATGTGCCACAAACTAAGTCTTCTTACAATAAAGAGTGTCCAGGACAGGGTTTCCCAGCTCTACTGATATCTGGGGCACACTTTTTTTCTGGATTAAAAAAGTGACAGCACATTGAATTCACTAGTCTGTGGACCAGATAAGGTCTGCGGGCCCTATCTAGCTGTGTGGGCTGGCTTGGCCAGGGTGCCATCCAGCCTATTTTTTATAGCACACTTCCATCACACTAATGTGCTGTGGGGCACACCCTTTGGAAATCACTGGTCCAGGAAGTGTGGTATCCCAGGAATCAGTCTGGGTGAGGCAGCAGGTACTTGCTGGTGTGGCAGGACAGCAATAAGACTAGGCCACAGGCCCCTGCAAGGGCAGTAGCAAGGCTGTCACTTCTTTACTGTAAACGCCATATTTTATCCCATATAACATGCCCCAAATAATATACAACTTGTTTTTTTGAAAGGTATTATGAAGAAATCTCACTCCCCTCCCCCCCAGAGCTATGGCTGCAGAGAGCAGGGACAGGGTCTAATCTTCAGTTGACTCAACCGCCCTTTCCTGCTCAACTAAAACCCTAGCTGTTGCAGAAGCCTAGTCTCCACAGGTGGACCCATGATCTTTAAAAGAACTAAAAAAAGAGCGTGAAATAGGAAGAGAGACCAGGGAAATAGGAATAGAGACCTAAGCAAGGTTATCTTGTTTAGTAGACTGACCATTAAACATGAGAAATGATTTATTAGCATCTGTGAAGTGAATGGGACATTGACTCCCTCAGCCTCAGCTGCCTGAATAGTAATATCGGAGTTGCTACACTGGGGAGAAGGAATCAGAAGCAGGGTGCTTCTATCACAGGCAGACAAGCTATAGCTTCCCTACTTAATACACTTACCCCAATTTGCAGGGAAAAGGGACATGCTGTATGCAACACAGTAGTATTCCATACAGTTGCTTTAAATAACAAAGTGTTGTTTCCAGAACACAAGCCTCATCAAGATATTACAGACTTCATACAGCAGCTCACTTACCCTCAGCCATCTCAGTAGCTGTTCAGCCACAAGCTACTGTCTCACCTGCAGCTGTGAGAAAATTAACACTGAACTCTGCCTCTGCCCTTTGCAGCCCAAGGAAGTGGCAAACATTTTGGTCTACCTTGCTCCTAGTCCAGCTAAGAAAAATCAGTTTCTCTGCTTAAGACAAATGTCCCAAATTTGGAGGGCTGATTTCAGGGAAAAAGCTGTGTGGTATACAAACAGATATATTTACTTGCAGTACTTATAAAACTGGGTAGATGTCTCAATTATGATTAGCAACAGAATTAGAGTAAGCACTCAGGAATCAGTAAATCCAATCCACCCTTACTCTAGCTCAGTGATTCTCAACAAGGGTGACATAGCATCCTGAGGTGCCCCGAGATCTTTTCAGGAGTGCAATGGGATGCCACACAATGTTAACAATTTTAGGTGTACAAGCAGGATTCAGAAGATAAACCCAGATATATCAAATAGGAATCCAGTGTTAAAAATGTTCTGATTTGTTGTGATCCAAGTTATTTGCAACAGAAGAATTGCTCTATTATTTTTCTGTAGTAAAAAAAAAACAAAAAAAAACCTGAATGAAAACTAAGTTAACATTTTCCACGTGGTGTGCTGAGTCTAAAAGGTTGAAAACCACTGCTCTTGCTACTAGATATATTCCATTGAAGGGGAAATTCAGCCTGTGTTAGCAAGCAGATTGTTTTGAGAGAGAATGTACTTCAAAGGAACTTGGACAGTAAATTCCTGGGCCATCGAGTCCAATTCCCTGAATTCATAAGTCACTTAGGCATTTTGGCTGCTTGCAAACTCTGACTGGCTAGATCCCGAGGAAGATGTCATCAACTGCCAGCAGTTACAATTTTTTACCTCCCTTCTCACTAACACTGAGCTCAATAAAGTCCATTCCTGGCATTTTGGCTGCTTGCAAACATTTAAACCCCCCCCAAAACAGCACTTTAAACTCCAAGTGCTCCCACACCGAGCCCAGCACATGCCCAGAAGCTGCTGCACATTAGTTGGACCCAGCTCGCCCAATACCTGTATAGATTGGGTGCTTTAGTGGGGCCATTTTGGTGCTTTTATCTAATAACTGATTGAATAAGATTTAAATAGAAGCACCAAAAAGCCCCACTGAGGCACCAGATCCATAGATGTTGCAGAGCTGGGTCGAAGTAATGCACTGATTCTTCCAGTAAAGCGTGGAGTTTTTTGCTTTTGAATGTCTGCAAGCAACCTTTGAGGCTATGGGCAGAGGTAATTTTTAATCACTTTAATAAGGGAGAAGCACAGCTGCTCAGGAAAATACATAAGCTACTCCAATGCAACTGTTATCTCTGCGTCTTCTTGCAGCAATGCAACTGAAGTACATCTGAATGCTTTTAAAAAATGGGTAAAATTACAAGAATTGTGACACACTTCTATCTCTACAGAAACATGAAGATAATACTTATGACATAGTTATTACATTGTAATGAGTTGTAATATCCGTCTACACTCCAAGACGGAGATTCTATCCATGTTCCCCTAAGAAATTAAAACCATCTTAAGTGGCAAGATGACTAAATGATTTGAGTGAAGTAAAGTAAAACAACGGTACAGAGAAACATAACATATGAATCCTTTTAAAAGCTGTTTAAAACAGCATTTAAAAACAGAAGCATCCGGACATACAAACCAAATTTAGAATGGTTTAAGCCTCCTGGAATATTTCAAAAATATACCTGGATAAACAGGTATTTTGAACCAGTCCTCCTTGAACTGGTTCAGTGTTATGCGAGGACACTAAGCTTTCCAGGACTAGTGTCTCATCAGTCCTCCAGGCATCCCACACTGCACAACTCCCCAAAGTAGCTGGTTTCTCTAGTATACAGCCAAAACTCTACCACCCCAACTTATATTGCCTGCATTTGACCCAGTCTGTGCCATCCCAGGGATGATTTCATAGATTTCATAGACATCAGGGCTGGAAGGGACCTCGGAAAATCATCGAGTCCAGCCCCCCGCCCAGAGGGCAGGAAGTCAGCTGGGGTCATAGGATCCCAGCAAGATAAGCATCCAGTTTCATCTTGAAGGTGTTCAATGAAGGCGCTTGAACCACCTCCAGTGGCAAGCTGTTCCAGACCTTGGAGAAGGGGGCAGTGGTATCAGGTGCATACAGGGGTACCTTTGCTTCTGGGTTCCTGTGGTGCTCGGTGCTTTTGAGGGGATGCTCAATATCCGTGCAACTTAAAAACCCTACATTTTCTGCCAAACTGCTTGTCAGTTAGTTCCATTGATGGCAACTAACCAGGCTTTGGGGCATCCCAGACTGATATGAGCTGGAAAACTGGGGGGGGAAGGGAGGGAGGAGAGGGGGGGTGCCATGGCAGCTAGATGAATAGAAGGTACTCCTGCTTCTGAATTTCCAGGGATGGGGGCTGTCCAAGATCTGTGCAGCTTTTGAACAGCGCTTTCCCCTCAAGCCTTTGAGCAATTTCATTCCATTCCTAGTAACTGACAAAGACCTTGGACAGATCCCCAGAGCACCCTGGGTACCCCCTCTTCCCACCCTGCCCCAAATTAACTTGGGATGCCCAAAGCCTAGTCAACTTCACTTTGTTCATGGCAATGGATAAGCCGCTTGGAGAGAAACACTGTTTAAAAGGGACAAAGACATGGCACAGTCCCCAGAATATCCAGCTCCCTGGGAACCCAGAAGCAAGGGTCCCACCGGGCCATCCTTAGGGAAAGTCTTCTTAAGTCTGAGTAAGGCCTTTGGGAATGTCTGGACTGAGCAAAACCTCAGGCACCCCACTGGAGCACCCAGCCCCTGGGAAAGGAGAAGCAGGCATCTAGGCAGTCCCCCTGCAAGCTACTGGCCACCCCTTAACCCCCAAATCAAGCTGTGATGCACCAAACCCTGGTATACTGTCAGGAATGAACTCAGTGTTAGTGAGAAAGGGTAGGAGGATCAAAAATAACAACTGCAGGCAATTTACATCATAATATTCCTTTGCATCTAGCCAATTATGGTCTTCCTTCCCTGACCAGGGGAAACTGGGGCACTTGAGTCACTGGGAGGCTTGCTGTGCTGGGTATTCACTACCACCCCCTTATGGTGCTTTGACAGCACTACAATGGCTAAAAGATGTTTGTTCTGCTTAGAACCCTCCAATGTAGACCCCCTCCAAGCCAGGGCAATTGAACCAATTCCAATCAGTGGCATTTTTTGGAATAGTTCAAGCACTGTCTGTGTGCAGGCACAGACAGACATACTAAATATATTGCTGTTCTGATTCAACTATTATGTCTGCATAAACCCAGAGCACAGAGCAGAACAGCTCCGACTTGAACCTTGCTACAATCAGGGTCAAAGTCAGGGCAATTTAGCTCACTTTTATGACTACAAGAAGATGCAGATTTAACTGCTGCAATGAAACACCCGATGGGCACTCCCCATCTTAAAATATACATTTACATAATACATATACAGTGGAGCCGCATCTGACGCGGGGGTTAGGTTCTGAAGTCAGCGCGTAAGGCAAAAATCGGTGACTATACGCAGGGTGGGAGTGGGGGCAGGGCTTGAGTTTGCACGCAGCACTGCCACTTACCTGGAGGCCCATTATGACCGTGACAGCCTCTGCCTCCAAAGCCCTCCCCCGCCGCCACAGAGCTGTGCTTAGAGCTGTGCGGCCGGCAGCAGCAGCACAGGGCAGGGTGGTGGTGGGGATGGCTGCGTGCCGCCCGGCCACCACCATGCTGCCGCTGCCGCCTGGCCACACAGCTCTGGGCACACGGGAGGTTTTGAAGGCAGTGGCTGTCACAGCCATAATGGGTCTCCAGGTAAGTGGCAGCGCCACGTGCAAACTCAAGCCCTGCCCCATCTCCCACCCCACGTATAGTTGAATTTGCACAAGTTAAATGCGCGTATGATGCGACTGACCTGTATATAAATAAAACTCTCCTTGTTAAAATATAAATTTGTCTACACCCTGCTGCACAGAACAGAAACCTTAAGACATAAAAGGTGATGTAACATTTCGGGGTTAACTGTTGGACAGCATTCCCTTAAAACTGTAGTTTTTAAACACTTTTCTCCACCAAGTTTAATCTCTTCAAAATTGTCATTTAAGAAAATACCTCCCATCTTGCTTGAACATTACCAATGAAAAGAGAATGACCAGAAGACATTTTATTGAAAGCTAAATATTGCAGTCACCACAGAGAAAGCAGTTTGCTAGTTTTCCCCTACTCTGGCATGTAAAATTTCTTTTCCAGTTATGTATTACAAACCAGACTATACATTTTGGAACAATGACACACTACAAAATATATGTTATACACCAGGAACAGTAACTAAAATGACTGTAATAGTTATGTAATAAACATAAAAAGACTTACTTGATCTTGGGTGGCCAAGTTTGCTGGTGGGTAGTCTGATTTTGGCCCATGACATAAGGAAAGACATTAGAAAGAGAAACTCGGATCAAGTTAACAGTACACCATGATAGCATATAAGGTACACAGAAGTATTACAGTGAACAGCGCATTAACTAATATACAAAAGAAAGACAAAGTTCAATCCATTTATCAATCTGTAGCCTGTTATTTAAAGCAAATTTTAAAAAGTGTTGAAAATGGGGGGGGGAAGCGAGGGAAGAGCAAATAACTGAAACACTTAAGTCACAAAAGGATTTGGGCATAGAGCTGCTCAGCATTCTCACAACCCAAAACTGGGCACCTAAATTCCCTAAACTTTAAACAGGGAGGGTAAGCTACCTAGCATTGGCAGTGAAAGCGTAAAGCACGGAGGGGCACTTAAGCTGGCCAAAAGAGGGGTGCATCTGAAAATCGAAATTCTCTCTTGGACCAAGATGGGGTGTCTACCTGCAGCCCAGAGTTAGGTGCCTACAGAAGACTGAAATTCACATCCCAAAACCTATGCCTAGATTTAAGTGCTGTCAAGCCACTTTAACTTTTAAAAGAAGACCAGGGATGCTAGTGGTCATGAACTGCCTACAGCTCTGAGTACTTATGCAGGAAGCACAAAGGCTGCATTCACTTTCCTACTGGCCTGATTTAAACCCAACCCACATATTCTGCCTTCCAAGATGATGCCATGAACTGCCAGGACAGCGCAAAAGCTCAGAAAATGGCACTCTCCAACTCTCACTGAAGATGTACCATATTATCAGAAGATCATTAAAGCCAGAGATGAAGTGCAAGAAGGAGTCTGACTCTAGCCCAGTGGCAAGGGCACTGACCTGCAAGACTGGAACAATGTGTCCTGGTCCCTTCTCCTAGGACTGGTCTATTTTTTTTATCCAAGGACTCTTCAATGCCGAAACAATAATTAGAAGCAAGGACCAAAAACAAAAAAATCAAGCAAGTAGCCTCTTCACTGAGCTGTAGTCATGCTCTCTCATTGCTTTTTCTGGCCCCAGGAATCTTGCTTTCTTTGCTGTACAATGGCAGAGCTTAATTATGAAAGTGCCAGAGACTAGGTTTTCCCTCAGTGTTCAGCACACAAGTATCTGGTTTATTACTCCTGAAGTACTGCACAGTATTAGGTACTTTAATGCTCAGCTGAGTCACAGCAGTAATTGCTAGTGTGAGCACTCACGCCTAATCTTTAGGTGCCAAAAATTTAAGCACCAAACAGAAGCTAGACAGTGTGTTTCTATGTACTGATTTATAAAACTTTGCTGGAATTCATCTAAGTTCCTTTGTGGATGTCACCCACAGCATTTTATAAATAATAATGAATACGACCCCTTCTCAGGTAGGCAAGTTTTATATCCATTTGCAGATATCAAAAGAGACCCAAAGAAATTAAACTCCTGACCTAAAAATCACAAAAAGCCTCTAGAATATTGGGAATATTAGCTAGATGCCTTGCCTTTTAAACTTTTAACTATAAAACACAGGCCAAGGGAAGGCTGCCATTCTTGCTGGTCTCACTATTTTTGTCAAAGACTTTCCACATGGTACACATTTTACGTACATAAAGTAGGGGATATTTTGAGATCAACAGTCCAAGGCCCAACGCATTTCCAATGTAGTTTCAAAAGAGCTTGATACTTCTTGCAGGAACAAAAGTTCAAGGATTTTAGTGTGACAACCAGAATATGCTAAACAAAACCCAAAACCAAGTCCCAGCAGAATAAAAGCCTGCATCAAAAAAATGTGCACCTATATGAATAATTCTACAAATTTAAGTCACTATATAATGTATCTATAAATTAAGAGTAACTGTGGCAGGTACAAGTAACTGATTAATCTTACAAAAATAAATCTTACAAATTGAACCCAGGAAAAAAATTAAACTAGTTTTATTTTATTTAACTGCAATTAATTTGGAATTGTCCCCTTTATGTAGGCCCATCTGTTGTACTGAAACATTTAAGCCTCACACCAAAAAGCAAGAGTTTAGGAAAGTGTTAATGCTGAGAAGTGTAATGCAGTAGGTTAGTTTCAGACCAAGTGGTATGAAGTAAGCCACTGAAATCTCAAAGCATGCACTTGTTTAATGTCATGACTATGATCAAAGCAGCAAGTATGTTAAGAAAAAGCCCTTACCGCTTCAGTCTGTGATCCTGCTGTAAGAAAGAGTTGCATTTTTTCAGACAAAAGCAACAACTTTAAATTGCATAGGTTCTTTTAACTTATTTCAATTATTCAGTTTTAGGATATGAATGCAGAATAGTCTCTCTCGGGATTTAGCTCTAACTGACAAATTACACAAAGGGACAGCTACAATACGATATGTTCTAATTTATAAGTCTGAACTTTGTAACACCTTCACTGATAAGGCAAGACCTGTGGAAGAGCCTAATGACAAGACGACTTCAGGGGGGAAAAAAGCAGCCAAGGCACAGTTAAAGATCATCTGATTCACTAATTAGTACTGTACCATCACCCATACATAAGGTTACAAATTTTAAAACCCTTATCAAATTATCTCATAACCTAGGCATGCAGAAGAGAGAGATAACAGATAGATAGAAAGACAGAATGAAGGTTATGGGAGCAACCTTAGCTATGAACAAACCTCATGATATGGCCATACAAACAAGTTTTAATTCTAGAAATTCAGCTTTTAAAACTTTAACTAGCATATATAAGGTTGGACCCCATTTTCCACAGGAAAACTGCAAAGCATGGAATGCATTGCTTTTTCGTTTTTTTTTTTTAACTTTTTTTTTTTTTTTTTTTTTTTTATAGTGCATGAGGGTAGCAAGGTCTAAAGATTTTGACTTAGTATTCTGATTTACTGAAATTAGAAATATTATGGTTTGAATTGCTTTGGCCAGATGATCTCAAAAGAATTAATGAAATGGCAACACAACAGAAAGGACAAAAATAAGACCATTTGAAAAGAAAGGGCAATTTTAGTCAGGCTAAGTAAAACTAACCCCAAGCCCCCCAAAAAACAACAAAACATTAACACTTAAGAGGAGGGATATTCCTTTGGAATATTTGAGACAAAAATTTTGGGGGTCATATCTTTTATTGGACCAACAACTCAATGGTTGGAATAAAGTTAGACAAATATAGTTAGAAAAGCTTTCAAATGCAAGACATTCTTTATCAGGTTTGAGTAGGGAATATTTGACATCATCTCTTGAGGATGGAAAAACTTCTGTCACAGCTTTGCAAGGAATTCCTCCAGATCCAAGGCATTATTTGTTGGCTTTCATTATTTCTCCAGCCAAAATATAAAGCCATCTCAAAGTCATCATTAGATAGTACAGTTCTGCTGAAAGGAGGAGTGGCTACATATTCCACACTTGTAACTGTCAAGCCAACAAATAATGCCAAAGGGACATGTGTGTAGGTAGTAGGGCTGCGCGAAACAACACTGTTCCGCTTTGACTTCCGTTTCAACGGAATAGTGTTTCATTTTGAGTTTCGAAAGCACTATTCTGTTTCATTTAATTGAAACTGTTATGCTGTTTCGATATTTTGCCCACAGGTTATAATGGGGAATCATGAAAATGCCTAAAACTTTGTCATTTCTTGCCTGATTCGGATGACACTTGCAGGGCTGGTAGCCCCAGTTGAAGGCATGAAGCCTGCCATGTTTCAAGGAGATGGATGTAGAGTTTTCTGGGAAACTGCACCTCAAGGTGACAAGCAAAACTCCTGTCACTTGCCAGCAGCGGCAGCCTCCTGTCATCTGGCCCGCAGATACGGGGGCCCACACCCCCAGGAGGGCTGCACCAGACTCTTCCCAGGGGCGCGGGCCCCCAAATATGCCCGCTGGATGACAGGAGGCGGCTGCTGCTGCTGGCTGGAACCGGTGCTGGGTGCAACCCATGCTGAACGCCAGGAAGACTGGTGCTGCTACAGGCCCCAGCTGGCAGCAACAGCATGCTATCATCCAGCGTGCAGATCCGGGCATCCGCACCACCAGGAGGGCTGGGGGCTGTGCCAGAATCCTCCTGAGGGGCATGGCCCCCGGATCTGCGCCAGATGACAGGAGGCTGCTGCTGCCGGCTGGGACCATAAAACATCAGCACTTTTAGCTGTGCAAACAGCTAAACGTAATTCACAAGATGAACCAAGCAGCTCTCAATTACACAGTTGGCCCAATAAAAGATACCACAAAAAAGCTTTGCCTCTTGGACATTTCCTGAACCATCATGACAACAACACGCTAACCTTGCTAAGGTAAATCCAGAAATTTCAATCAGAAATCTATAGCATCGGAAACATTTTAAACCTGCTGTGGCCTTTTCTGGGTTCTTCACAACAAAAAGAATTGTTCAATTATTTTCCCCTAGTCAAAAAAATGAGTAAGAGCTGGCATTTTCAGAGTCATGGAAGGTTTAGAACCACTGCCTTAAACAAAAGGTAGTGCTAGAAAGATTCTATATTATAGAGAACGTTAGAAGTACATGATACATCAAAACAAGTACAAAATAAGTGAGAATACTTACTGTTTAATGCTTCTTCACATTTTTTCATCCAAATAGTAAAAGTGGTATCCACATCTGGAAGAGAATGAATATAGATAACATCAGACTGCTTCAAGATCTAACTTTAAAAAAAAAAAAGCCTTTATATGAAATGAGACCACCATAAACAGATTTGCACTATGATCCAGCCCATGGATCTCCACAGACCCCACATGCTACGTGGGGCACACACCAATCCTGGCCTCAGCCCTGCACCGCAACCTCAGCCACCTGTACTACATGCAGCACACTGACCCCAGGGGGCTCACTATGCATGCAGCATGTGGGGCCAGCACATGCCTGGACCCAAAGCTGCATGCAGAGCAGGAGGTGCAAACAAGGCTGCAGGCAGCACCCTGCTGGACTGGCCCTCTGCACTGAGCTTTGATGTGTATGAACAGTCTGGTGCCCAATACGGACATGGCCCAGAGTGGGGCTGATGTACCTTATGTGCAGGCATTGCAAGTGGCACAGGGAATCAGTCCCTATCCAACTCCCAAACTGACTCAGCAACCCTGAACCAGTGACAAGATTAATTTACAAACATATTTTTTGGGGAGCCAATCTCATCTAAGCAGAAATGGGATTGCTTCCCTAGGAAAAGATGCAAAAAATAAAAAGTAATGGTACAGAGAAAGCAGTTGGAAGACAGATGAGACGGAGGAAGTGCAATTGCCAAATATGTAAAACAGATAACATTTGTTCTGAGGGGCAGTTCAAAGCAGAAAGTAGGCCTGTTGAAAGCTTCTGGGTAAAGGTCCAAAAGTCTCATGGGGGACTTCCAAGTACAACTACAACTGCTGGAAGGGAAACACAGCAGTGCACGGGCAGTCCCGTACGTTCTAGTGTCAGGGACAATTTTTTGGTACAAGTGCTGGAGAGGCCAAGTAAGAGGAAGCTTCTTCTTAACTTGCTGTTCCCCAACAGGTAAGAGTTTGTTGAAATCCCAGTGCAGACCCACTGTTCCCAGCCGCACCAGGTCATGTCTGTAGAGCTACAGCAGCCCCACAGGAGGGAAGCAGGGCAGGAGCTCAAGGCCACAGCCTGCCCCCACCACCCACCCCCTCCCCAGAGGGCCAGCACCTCCACATGTGGCTTCCCTTAAGGCTGCTAGAGCTGTTTCGGTTTCATGTGCCCCCGGCCAGGCACTCAGTCCACGAGCAGGGAGATGTGGAGCCAGCCGGGCATTCCGTGTATTTCCCCAAGACCTCCCCACTCCCTCAGCCAGCTTCCACATCAGCCCTGCCCCGCAATACCCCAGCCCCCTGCAAGCCCCACTTACCAGTTCACAGGCTCCAAGAGGAAAGTAAGCCTGACCTAAGCCTTGGGACTAACTAAAAGCCGCAGTCTCTGCCCTTCCCCCCCCTCCCTTCTCCTGCCCTTCCCAGCAAGGTTGGGGCTTTCCTGCCCTTGTTTGGAAACAGCTCTTGCAGGCTGGAACTCTAACAGCCTGCAGAGCTCTTTGCAAAAGCAAGAAATCCATGGGTTTCTCTGATAAAACCAGGAAATCCAGTTTCCTCTGTTTTTCTGTGGGAAAAGAAAAAACCCAGATCCCTGATTATGACAATATACTGAAAGAACTAGTCAGATTTAGTCTGGAGAAGACGTCTTCAAAACTTGAAGCATGGTTATAAAGAGGATGGAGATGTATTATTCTCTCTGGTCACAAAGAAGAGTTATTCTCTGTGGTCTCAAACAGCAGCAAAGTTAAGGTGGATCTTAGGAACTCCTTCTTTGAGGGCAATTAAACATTGAAAGCAGTTACCAAAAGAGGCTGTGGATTTCTCCATCCTTGGAAATTTTCAAGAGCTGGACTACATGAACTCCTCGGTTCTCTCCCAACCTTACTTTTCTATGATTTGCACAATCTTCCTAGTCTCATAACAAAGGTGGAAAACTGAAATCCGACTTAAAAGAAATACTTACTTGCCTACTGTGCACGCACGCGCACACACCAACCCAAACCAGATTATTTGCCTTTGAAATTCATTGCCACAGGAAGTCATTAAGGCAGACACCTTAGCAAGATTCAGAAGAGATGGGGAATTGTATGTCAAGAGAACAAAATGCTGGAAGGAATATTAAGCTTCTTGGTTCAAGGCTTAAAACAACTTCCTTGCTCTAAAGAGATCAGGATGAGACCTGATACTGGGGAGAAAATGCCATATCTGTGAAATACAAGGTTGTTAGATTTTCTTCCAAGGCATTATTAGGATTCATAAAAACAGACATGTGATGGACCTTTGGTAATTACCTCATCCATCTGGTGCTTAATTTCAAATAAACTTGCATGGTTTCAAATAGTCACTGTTCCCTCCCTACCTCCTAAGGAAAAAAAAACAAAAAACTGTCCATTTGGGGGGGGGTTGCCTTTTGGAGAAGGTATGGGAAGCTGAACAGTTACAGCCACCTTTGAAGAAAATAATTTATTCTGAACTCTCTTGCAGTTTATATGAAGCCAGATAAATGACTGAACCTTTTCTTCCCTATGCCTAGACAGAATGCCTATTTTAAATGCTCCAATCTCTGCCAGTCTGAAGACCATAATAATCAAGACAAATATACTTAAAATGCTACAAACAGATAGCCATTAGTTCAACCCAAAAACCCCTGAAGGCTGAAAATGATGCAACATTAAATATATTTTTGTAATTTTTAGTGTAATCTAATTTAATATTTGTCAGCCAAAATATATATGCATAGTTGTATAATTTATAAGAAACTGAGTCCAAAGAAAGATTTGTTTTGCTTGGTTCACAATTTCAGAATAAGAGGAACTTGTTTTATCTGCAGGCTTTTTATGGTGTTTATCAACATAGTACTTGGTTACTCCAAACACCCGAGTATGACTTCAACAAATCTGAAGCAGGGAAATAATCCCATTTCATAAAGAGAGAATACAGACATTTTTCAAAAATGGCTTGTGATTTTTGGTGCTCATCTTCAGAAAGGGCCCAATTTTTAGACAGTGGGCATTCAGTACTTCCTGAAAATGAGCCCATTGAATATCTCAAGATGAGCATCTAAAAAATCCCTCATTTTTCTATAAAAAAAAAAAAAAAAAAAAAAAACTTTAAAAGTTTTTAGTTTGTAAAAAGTGTAAAAAGAACTGCATTTGTGTAAAAAGTGTAGTTCTGATACTTACTGTCCAATATCTGTCCCTCTTTGAAAGAGTCCAGCGCAGAAGCATAGTTTTTGATATGGTATTCACCTATCCTGGCATGCACACACACACACACACAAACAGATAATAAAATAGGATAGTAGTTAATACTCAATTACAATTATATTTCTGGGGATCATGGTATATTTTACTTTATGATAGTTTGGTGAAAGATAAGTGCACTAGTTATTGTTTGCCTTCACTGGGCACTGACTACACGCTTTCCTTCCCACTACTCATCTAACTCTATCCTGAGACTAAGAGTCACCATCCACTAATTTCTATTTATTCAATGTTCGGTAAAAAAGGCACCCAAGACCTATCATACAATGCAAGTAAATACTAATATTAGGCTTACAGTATTAAGACTGCGCAGTTCTAAAACAATAATTGGAAACTTACTGCATTTGGCATCTAAAATGGATACATACCCTTTCCTGAGAAAGGCTGTAGTATTACTAGGGTTGAGTTCCAGAGACTTCTTTGCATCTGCAACAGCATCTGAACAAAGTCAATTACGCGAGTGTAAGAATCTCACTATTCAAGCCATGAATCTAAAGTAAAAAATATAAAGCAAGCTAACAATTCAGTCCTAACTTTCAGCAATAACTACACACCTGCAAAGGCATTGGTATCCCATCCTAGAAACCATGAACATACCTTAACATTTGCCATGATCTCATAGTATGCACCAAAGTCACACAACTGAAGTGACATAGAACAAATAGGTATCAATATTCTTTACCAAAACTATTTTAACTTGTTTTTTTTTATACACAGCTGTATTGCTAAGAAAAATGAGGTATAACCTTGCTTCAGTCCAATGCCCTGCCTGTGCTTAAGGCATAATATATTCATCCAAATTTGTTTAAAGACACACGGAACCAGTTTTTGTTTCTAAAACAAAATATAATTTTACGTGTTTGTTACACAGCAGTTTGTTTAAAGAATACAATTCTAAGTTCATGTTCCTACTATGAAAAAGTTTGTTATTTTAGAATTCTTTGCCATACATGAAAATCTCTACCAAGGTGACATACCATGGTGTGGTGACAAATCTTAAAACAGGAAAAAAAATAAAGGGTGAGCCTGCAACCTAAATCTGTTCAACAAATCAACAAGTGATACAGTGAAGAAACAAGGTATTCTTTCATTAATGTACTCAACATTTTCAGACTGTGAATGCCCTAGGCTCACTGAAAGACCAGAGAACTGAAATTATCAAATATCAGAGAGCTACGTTAATGGTACATCTTATAAATTGATGCAACCCAATTACAAATGACAAATTTCCAAGATTACTGCTACATTTTGCTTGACTTAAGACATTTTTCTGTAAGGAATCTGTTATATTTTGGTCTAAAAACTGGTAAAGAATGTAGTTTAAGAGATGTTACCCAAGTAATTCTGAAGAAGAATATAAGCGTATGCTCGTTGACAGTAGTGTTCTGCATCATCTGGATTCTGTTCCAAAGCCGTTGTCAGTTTCTGCAAATCCAAATATAAAAATTGAATGTGACAGCTTACATAAAACCCTTTAACAACAGAGGAGAGCATATAGCCCAATGAAATTTTTTGTTTGAAAGAAAAAAACCCCCACAGATTATCAATTATCACAGTTTTGCTGTACAAAAAGTTACACTACAGTCAAATATCCTTAAGGTTGTGTTGCCCAGTTAAGTCTGTGTTGCCACCAATCCACCACCAAATTCCTGGGCATAAAGCTCTGTTGGAGATGCATGTCTGCTGCAAATGACAGTTGCATTGATTTCCACAGCCACCACCGCTCACCCCTCAGCCTCCGCTACCAAGATCCAGCCTGCGAGGAGTGTTAAGTTTGACACCTCCATGTTAGACTTAACAGATAAAGTCTAAATTATAAGTGTGACTCCCTACACATTTATTCAAATGACTTTAGTCAAAATAAAAAACAGCAAGTTTTGAATGAAAAATAAAAGCTAAGCTACAGTCACTGCTATGGTAAGCATATACACCAGAAACCAATGTATACCTACCCATAACATCATCTCTTTAATTTACTCTTCAGCCACATTAAGTTCAGACAATGGGACTGTATCTCACAGTGCTTTCAATGTCTAATACAATAAAAAAAACACCTGCATAACAGAGGCACCAAAGATGCAAGTTTAACCTTGCTCCCAGCTCATACTGGAGATGACTCCCAAATAATTTAGCTGTAAATGGGTACCTACTCATTCATACAGGGCAGTCAAAGGCATCTGGACATGCTAGCCGATCCCCTTGTGCATTGTAGGCTGGCTACTGAAACAGGTACAACTTCATTACACTAGCCAGGTTGGCAAGGTTCTGGAGCCATGGGCCAGATCAACCTAGCTCTGGTCCCAGAAGGGTCAGTGCTTCCAACCCAGCACATGGCTGCCATTGCACTCACCATGCCACCTGACTACAGAACACACCACACTGGCATAGCTGGCTTCACAGGCTGTATGTTGCTGACTAGCATACTGAGCAGTCAGGCATGGGTGGATCTCTGACCTAGACCTCTGGACAATAATTCTACTTGCTGAGCTATAATTTTACTGGATTCCTACTTTCAGAACTCAACTACCCACCATGAGGCAGGTTGAAATGTTGAGAGCTTGCAGGAACCTCAACTGCCTTGAGGAACAGACAGACCAGTCTCATAGTAAAGGTTTTGGGTTGGTGTTCAGAGATGAACACCTTAAGGAACCATTCCTTGCATATCAACATGGCAGAATGAGCCTAGAGAGCACTTGTAGCAATGAATTCTGGATTGTCCCAACAAAGGACTGGGATGAAGGAGGAAAGGCCAAACCATATGAGTAGAAAAGCAGTAGGGAGGCCTGTTACACAACTGCACTCCTAAGGATTCAGCGCATTGTTTTGCAGTTCAAAACAAATGCAGTTCAAAGTCTCAGGTCTGACACTGCAAGTCCACCAGGGGAACAAATATCACTCGTCTTCCATGACCTCCCATAGCTATTGTAACAAAGCACTGGCCAGAAGTGGGGAGGCTTATGAACAATGTAAACAAGTTTGTCACCAAGAAAAGTCTGTGAAACTCCTAGCCATGCGAATGAGGCCAGTGTGACCACAAAAGTGGGCTATTCTCAAATTTAAGTGTAAAACGCTCTTCTGACCCTTCCCAGGAAGTTCCTCTCTCAAACAGGGATGGATCCAGAGAGTGCACAGTGGTAGATCATATGCTCTTTCACACCACACAGCAGCCAGAGACTTTTTAAAAGTCCCTATAACAAGTGAAAACACTCTCTCTCGGCAACTCTTCCCTTCCCCTCTATACTCAGCAGCACTCCTTCCTCTCTTCTCTTCCCCTCCCATTTCTCACCTGCTACTGTTGCTGTAACCATTGGAGGGTGGGGGGAGCTTCAGAGCAGCTCCTGTACTGCTCCCATTAGTGCAGGGGCAGGCAATTATTTTGAATGGAGGGCCGCTTACCCAGTTTTGGCAGGCTGTCGAGGGCCACATGGGTAGCCCTGCCCCTTGACAGGTGCCCCACCCCCTGGTCACTATCTTGGGACCAATGTCCCAGGGCCAGCACCAGTGGGGCCCAAAACGGGGCGCAGGCCAGCAGGGATCCGTGGAGCTGGGCTGGGCTGCACCAACAGGGAGGGGGGAGCTGGCCCGGGTCCACAGAGCCCCTGCCAGCTAGGACCCCACGCTGCTGCCACCCTGCTCTAGGCTCCACTGGCACTGGTCCCGGGACACCCATGCAGGCCCTGTGCTCCTACTGGCTCCCCGCCTGCTCACACCCAGTGCCCCCCAGCCCCAGTACAGGCAGGGGGCAGCACACAGCCCCAACCCCCTGCTCGCCAGCAGGGAAGAAGCTGGTGCTAAACATGGGGAAAAGTGACCCCTCACCTGCCCCACGGCCGGCACCCCACATTGCAGGCACTTGCAGCCTGTGCAGGGCTGTTCAGAGCAGGCACAGGCAGCCCCAGGCAGGCTGCAAGCAGCTGCAGTGCAGGGCACTGGCCATAGGGCAGGTGAGGAGCTGTTTTTCCCTGTGTTCAGCACCAGCTTGTAACCCACCCCACTGCCAGCCTGCAAGTGGGGCCGGGTTACAAGGTGGTGCTGAGTGTGGGGAAGAAAGCAGCCCCTCCCCACCCCATGCCGAGTGCTGCAGCCACTCACACCCTGCCTGGGGCTGTCTGTGCCTGCTCTGGACAGCCCCCCCGTGGGCTGCGAGCGCCTGCAGCGCAGGGCACCAGCCATGGGGCAGGGAAGGGGCTGCTTTTCTCCACACAGGGAAGGAGACCAGGGAAAAGCTGAGTGCGGGGGGGAAGGGGCCCCTCTCCCGCTCCAAGCAGCCCACAGAGGGCTGTCTGGAGCGGGCACAGGCAGCCCCACGCAGGCTGCAAGCAGCTGCAGCACAGGGCACTACAGCATGGGGCACCAGGCCCCAGAAGGGGCTTCCAGCTGGGGGGTGGGGCCAGGCAGGCCCCGCTGTTGATGGAGCCTGCCAGGCTTCCCCTGGGTCCTACTGCCCTTGGTTCCTGTCATTTTTGACAGGAACCAACGGCAGAGAAATATTAATTTTCCAAGTTTTTTTAGGGGCCCCATGGGCTGGATAGAATGGCCTCACGGGCCAGATTTGGCCTGCAGGCTGGATTTTGCCTGCCCCTGCGTTAAGTGTGTGGGGAGCCAGGCTCACCTGGGAATAGCAGTAGCAACAGGGAGGTTCCTCCTCACTGCTGGGTCCCTCCATGGAGTTCCCCTCCAGCCCAGCCCAGGAACAGACACAGGCAAGAGTCCAACTGTTGTTGTTCCTGGCCCTGGCCCAGTCTGGCTTCCCACAGCCCTCAAATGGAGTGAGATAGGAGGAGCCATGACAGCAACAGATAGTAGACCTCCCTGAGCCCAAAGGCAGAAGTGGTGAGGGGGAGAAAAGGGTTGCTTCTGAGTAGGGAGGGGAAAGAAGAGAGGTACCGAGAAAGGAGAGGATACTTGCCTGGAAGGGAGGGTGTCTTGGTTAGGTATGGGTGGGGGCGGCGCTGGGACGCAGGGACATAACCAGAAGCTACACCAGAGTCCACTCTTGTGAGATGTTGCATAGCTAATGGGCTGGTGATGATGACAGAACAAGGCGCAGAGGTCTTGAGTGGCAGCAAGGGAAGTTTAGGTTAAATTAGGGTTGGCAAGCCAGTCAACTGATCAATCAAATGCTGTCAATTGACTGCCTATTTCACGACTGGTCAAAGATTATAGCAATTTTACACAAAAAAAAGTAAACTTTTTTGTAGTTTTCTGAACAGAAAACTTTAACTTTGACACATTTCTTAATGGAAAATGTATGCTTTTTCTGAGTATTTAGACTTACTGGCAATTTTTTCCCCTAATGTTTGACCCATAGTTCATTGGCTATTTGATCCAGTCAACTGACCAAGATTTACTTGACTGGTCAAATACCCAACCCTAGGTTACATATTAGCAAAAACTCTCTCACTAGGAGGATAGTAAAGCACTGGAACAGGCTACTTAGAAAGGCGGTGGGTTCTCTATCCACAGAGGTTTTTAAGACCTGGTTAGACAAAGCCTTGGCTGGGATGATCTAGCTGGGGACAGTCCTGCTTTGAGCAGGGGTTGGACAGTGTTTCTCAACCCAGGGGTCACAACACAAAAGTGGGTCACAAGAATATATGAAAGGGTCATGAGCAAACTTTAAAAACGAATTTTCCTTTAGAGGAGAAAAATGTGGGAAACTGCAGCTTTTCTCTTGCAGGCTGGCAGTTCCAGCCTGCAAGGGGCTGCTTGGGGTCCCCCTGCCCCACAACCTCCTCACCCCACACACTGGGGGGCTGGGGCCTGGGGGCAGCAGGTCAGGAGTGAGCAGCACTGGGTTGGGACTGGCCATCACTGTTTACAAATGGGTACTGGCACAAAAAAGGCTGAGAACCACTAGACTAGACCTCCTGAGGCCCCTCATTTTTTGTGATCTTTGTGACATTTTGATTTTCTTTGTGACATTTTTTGTGTCAGTATCTGGTAATGATAAACAAGCAGCTACATATTTTACCAGAGTAAAAATACTGCCAAATGTCAACACAGAGAAAAATAGGAAAAAAGGGAAGCTGGGCAGTAAGAAAAGCATGCCAACAAGGCCAGGCTGACACAGGTAAGATTTTTTGGAAAACCAATAAAGCAATCACAGAAGCAGCCTGTAAAGCAGTAGTAAAAATAAGGAGGTGCAAGTAAGAAAATGTCTAGGAAGAGTTTGGGAACAAAGGGCCGCTGGACTACAACCCTGACTGTCTCAGTGAGACTCTGGACTGCTGGACCAACAGGCCAGAGACCAAGACTGGCTTGCAAGGAAAGGAGTGTGCTTTCTAACTTAAGTATGCAGAAGCAGACGGCTCCGGCACATAGGTTCCCCCCACCACTTCCACCCCTCCTCGCACCCCCTTAGCTCCACCCAGGGGAACAAACTATTTGGGTGCGGGGGGTGAAGACACAACCAGCCCCTGCACTCAGGCCATTAGGCCCCGGGTAGAACGCTCGGATCCACCCCCACCCCAGGGCGCCTTGGTGCGGCCACCGCACTCGCTCTATTAAGCCCCGAACTAGGCGAACCATGCAGCGCCGGGGGGGGGGGAAAGAGACTGGGAAGAAAAAGCCGCACCCTGCGGCGCGACCCAGCCCCGCC